AGATCAATGGAACTAAGATCTGGTTCTTTGAAAAGATAAGCAACATTCATAAACTTTTAACCAGACTCATCAAGAAAGAATGAGAGAGAACTCAAATCAGAAGTGAAAGAGGAGGGCGCCTGGGTGGCTCAGTTGGTTAAGCAACTGCCTTCAGCTCAGGTCATGATCCTGGAGTCCCAGGATCGAGTCCTGCATCGGGCTCCCTGCTCAGCGAGGAGCCTGCTTCTCCCTCTGACCCTCCCCCCTCTCATGTACTCTCTCTCATTCTCGCTCTCTCAAATGAATAAATAAATCTTAAAAAAAAAAAAAAGAAGTGAAAGAGGAAAGGTTATATAATTGACACCACAGAAACACAAAGGATCGTAAGAGACTAAGACAAACAATTATATGCCAACACACTGGACAAACTAGAAGAAATACATTCCTGGAAACAGATTCCTGGAATCAGGAAGAAATAGAAAATTGGGATAGATGAATTACTAGTAGTGAAAATGAATCAGTAATTAAAAAAAAACTCTCAACAAAGAAAAGTTCAGGATTAGTCAGGTTCACAGTTGAATTCTTAATAAACATTTAAAGAAGAGTTAAAACCTGTTTTTCTCAAACTATTCCAGCAAACTGAAGAGGAAGGAACACTTCCAAATTCATTCTATGAGACCAGCATTACTATGACATCAAAACCAGACAGACACTACTAAAACCAAAAATTACAGGCCAGTATCTTTGATGATAGCAAACCAAATTCAACGGTACATCAAGAGGACCATATGCCACCATCAAGTGGGATTTATCCCAGAGATATAAGGATGATTTAATATCTGCAGAGTAATCAGTGTGATATACCCCATTAACAAAATGAGGCTATAAACCATATGATCACCTCAATAGATGCAGAAAAGCATTTGATCAAGTCAATATCCATTTATGGTAAACACGCAGCAAACTGAATATAAAGGAAAGGTACTTCAACATAATAAAGGCCATGTATGGCAAACCCACAGCTAACATACACAGTGTTAAAAAGCTGCAAGCATTTTTTCCTAGGATTAGAAACCGCAGAAGAATGCCTACTCTTGCTGCTTTTATTCAACATAGTACTAGAAGTCCGAGCCACAGCAGTCAGACAAGAAAAATAAAAGATTTTATTTATTTATTTGAGAGAGAGAGAATGAGAGAGAGAGAGAGAGAGCATGAGAGGGGAGAGGGTCAGAGGGAGAAGCAGACTCCCTGCCGAGCAGGGAGCCCGATGCGGAACTCGATCCAGGGACTCCAGGATCATGACCTGAGCCGAAGGCAGTTGCTTAACCAACTGAGCCACCCAGGCGCCCAGGCAGACAAGAAAAATAAAAAGCATCCAAATTGGTAAGGAAGAGGTCAAACTGTCACTATTTACAGGTGACATGATAGTATATATAGAAAACCCTAAAGACTCCACCAAGATGCTGAAAGTGCTATTACACCTAATAAATGAATTCAGTAATGTTGTAGCATACAAAACTAACATATAGACATCTCTTACAAATATATACAAACCAGTATAAAGAAAAAATCAAGAAAACAATTCCAGTTGCAGTTGCATCAAAATAAAATACCTGGGAATAAGTTTTTTCAAGGAGGTGAAAGACCTGTACTCTGGAAACTCTTTAAGACATTGATGAAAGAAATTGAAAATGATACAAATAAATAGAAAAACATACCATGTTTGTGGATTGGAAGAATTAATACTGTCAAGATGTCCATACTCTCCAATGCAGTCTACAGATTTAGTGCAGTCACTATTAAAATACCAACAGCATTTTTCACAGAGCTAGAATAAATAGTCCTAACCTTTGTATGAAACCAGAAAAGACCCTGAATTGCCAAAGCAATTTTGAGAAAGAGGAACAAAGCTGGAGACATCACACTCCCTAATTTCAAGATACATTACAAAGCTGTAGTAATCGAAACAGAATGGTGCAGGCAAAACCAGATGTGTAGTCAGTGGAACTTAGTAAAGACCTCAGCACAAACCCACGCTTATATAGTCAACCTATGACAAAGGGGACAGTTAATCTCTGACAGTAGACAATGTGGAAAACGTCTTTTCAACAAATGGTGTCGGTAAAACTGGACAGCTACATGCAAAAGAATGAAACTGGACCTCTTTTTTACACCATACACGAAAATAAGCTCAAAGTGGAGTAACTTAAATGTACAACCTGAAACTAAAACTCATGAAAGGAAACACGGGCTCTAAGCTCTTGGATATCAGTCTTGGCAGTATGTTTTTGGATCTTTCTCCTCAGACATGGGGAACAAAAGCAAAAATAAACTATTGGGACTACACCAAAGTAAAAAGCTTTTGCACAGTGAAGGCAATGATCAACAAAACGAAACGCAACCAGCCTACTGAATGGAAGAAGGTATTTACAAATGATATATCCTCTAAGGGGTCAATATCCGAAATATATAAAAAACTCATACAACTCAACAAGAAAACAACAAGCAATCCAATTACAAAATGGGCAGCAGACCTGAGTGGACATTTTTTCCCCAAAGGTTGATTGATTGATTGATTGATTGATTGATTGATTTAGAGCACATGAGCAGGGGGAGAGGCAGAGGGTGAAGGACAGAGACTCAAGCAGACTCTGTGCTGAGCACGGAGCCATTATGGGGCTCAATCTCATAACCCTGAGATCACGACCTGAGCTGAGATCAAGAGTGGCCGCTCAGCCAACTGCGCCACCCAGGCGCCCCTGAGTAGATTTTTTTTTTTTAAGTAGACATATATACAGAAGGCACTCTACACGTGAAAAGGTGCTCAACATCACCCATCATCAGGGAAATGCACAATGAGATATCACCTAACACCTGTCACAGTGATTAAGGATCAGAGAGACAGGATATAACAAGTGTTGGCAAGGATGTGGAGAAAAGGGACCCTCCTGCAGTGCTGGTGGGGATGTAAGTTGGTACAGCCAGTATAGAAAATGGTATGGAGGTTCCTCAAAAAAATTAAAAATAAAAATACCATATGATCAAGCAATCCCACTCCTGGGTATTCAAAGAAAATGAAAACACTAATTTGAAAAGACATCTGCACCCCCATGTTTATCGTAGCATTGTTTACAGTAGCCAGGGTATGGAAGCAACTCACGTGTCCGTCAAGAGATGAATGGGGACACACACACACACACACACACACACGAATATTACTCAGCCATCAAAAGGAATGAGAGCTTGTCATTGGTGGCAACACAGGTGGGCCTGGAGAGTATTGTTCTACTAAGTGATAAAAGTCAGGGACACATGCCTTTTACTTAGATGTGGAATCTAAGACACAAAACAAATGAACGAACAAAACAGAAACAGACTCCTAAAGACAGAGAACAAACCAGTGGTTCTCGGAGGGGGGAGGTGGGAGGAGTGAAATAGGTGAAGGGGATTTAAATGTATAAACTTCCAAGTTATAAAATAAGGAAGTTGTGGGATGTTAAATGCAGCAGAGAGAAAACAGTTGGTAATATTATAATAATTATATATGGTAATGAATACTTGCTAGGCCTATCGTGATTATTTCATAATGTATATAATATTGCCTGTCAATGACTTCAATGAAGAAAAAATAGTAAAAGGAGGGAAAATGGAGAAAAGAAGCTATGTGATACTGTGGCTGTAGATAAGCGAAGTGTATTTCTGAAATGCTGCTTTGTGCCGTTGTATTTTAAGTGTCTGCCAGGTGCCCTATAACTGAAGGCCAGTGTGTTAGTGAAGCCTTACCTGTGGAAATGCAGGGAGCATGCTTACAGTCGGAAAAAGTAGACCCAGGAAGCAAGAGGCGTCGATAATACAGAGAAGATAAAACAATATGGTGGACCTCAATGTGAGACAGGAATCCATCCAAATCCTAGAGGAGAACATAGGCAGTAACCTCTTTGACATCGCCCACAGCAACTTCTTTCAAGATACATCTCTAAAAGCTAGTGAAACAAAAGCAAAAATGAACTTTTGGAACTTCATCAAGATAAAAAGCTTCTGCACAGCAAAGGAAACAGTCAACAAAACAAAGAGGCAACCCACAGAATGGGAGAAGATATTTGCAAACGACACTACAGATAAAGGGCTGTTATCCAAGATCTACAAAGAACTTCTCAAACTCAACACCCAAAAAACAAATAATCAAGTCAGAAAATGGGCAGAAGACATGAAAAGACACTTCTCTGAAGAAGACATACAAATGGCTAACAGACACATGAAAAAATGTTCATCATCATTAGCCATCAGGGAAATCCAAATCAAAACCACACTGAGATACCACCTTACACCAGTTAGAATGCCAAAAATGGACAGGGAAAGAAACAGATGTTGGAGAGGTTGTGGAGAAAGGGGAACCCTCTTACACTGTTGGTGGGAATGCAAGTTGCTACAGCCACTTTGGAAAACAGTGTGGAGGTGCCTCAAAAATTTAAAAATAGAGCTACCCTATGACCCAGCAATTGCACTCCTGGGTATTTACCCCAAAGACACAGATGTAGTGAAAAGAAGGGCCATATGCACCCCAATGTTCATAGCAGCAATGTCCGCAATAGCCAAACTGTGGAAAGAGCCGAGATGCCCTTCAACAGATGAATGAATAAGGAAGATGTGGTCCATATATACAATGGAATATTTCTCAGAAAGGATGAATACCCAACTTTTACATCAACATGGATGGGACTGGAGGAGATTATGCTAAGTGAAATAAGTCAAGCAGAGAAAGTCAATTATCGTATGGTTTCACTTATTTGTGGAACATAAGGAATAGCATGGAGGACATTAGGAGAAGGAAGGGAAAAATGAAGGGGGGGAATCGGAAGGAGAGATGAACCATGAGAGACTATAGACTCTGAGAAACAAACAGGGTTTTAGAGGGGAGGGGGGTGGGGGGATGGGTTAGCCCGGTGATGGGTATTAAGGAGGGCACGTACTGCATGGAGCACTGGGTGTTATACGAAAACAATGGATCATGGATCAGCACATCAAAAACTAATGATTTATTGTATGGTGACTAACATATCATAATAAAAACAAAACAAAACAATATGGTGACCCCCAAGGTCTCGGATCCTGGTAGAAATAGAGGGATTTGCAAAAGGGGTGCTTCCTGTTTCTGAGATGAGCAGTGTGGGTGGATGAGGAAGGGCGCAGGAAGTAGACAGTGCCTGTCCAGATAGGTGGAGTTGCTGGGAATGGAGGTATTGCTTGAGTGCCGATGTGAGGCCAACGCAGATGTCCATGAGGGAGGGAGGGGACGCCGGAGACCCTGCAGAGCCTGTGTGACTAGAGAGGAGACAGATGCCTTTTGGAGACAGGGTACAGGAGCCATGCCACATGGGTCCACCTGTGGGGGGTGCAGGAGAGGTGGATACTCACCAGAGCTTCCCCTGACCAGGGTTGTGCCCAGGCACCTGGGCTGAACTCTGGGCGGCATCATTCCATAGACCTCGAGATTTCCTGCGGCCATGTGGTGCTGTCTGGATGCAGAATCAGAGGGGAAAAGGGCCGCTTTGTGCATGGCCGAGGGTTGCCTGTTGCATGCAACGAACAATGAAGGGAATGGTAAGATTAAGGAGGGAATTTAAGATTACTCCTAGCCCAAATGCAGCAGAAGACTTCTAGTAGCGGGAAAACTAGAGTGGAGAGGAGGGAAACAGAGGATTAAGGGGCTGAGGACTGGGGAGGGGCAGGCAGGAGGTCCAGGGGCTGGAGATCTGGGCCAACCCAGCTGAAACAGGGCCTGGGCGTCTCCTCTGAGGATTCAGGGAGGCAGTTGCTGGTGTGGACAATGAGGGACCCAAACCCCTCCCAGCCTTCAGTTTGCCATCCTCATCATGAGGCTTTTCATCCACAGCCTGTGGGCTTACGCTCCATAAGGAGCAGCCGTTTTCATTGCTAAATGGTTGTCCTGTTTGTTTGCTTAGCTTCTCACCTACTCATGTGCACAGAGTACCTTCTTTTCAAGTATTTTGCCTTTAGCGTGATGTCTTTTGCATTATTTCTTTTATGAGATGCTGTTTCTACTTCATTTATTAGTTCTGTGGTAATATTATTTTGGTCCTTAGTGGTTTCTTAGCTCTGCAGTCTTCTTCATGTTTCAGTTTTGATTTATCATCGCCTCATTGCATCTCATGTATTGATTTCATGTCCTCTCTGAATTCTGGGAACTTTCCATTAGTTCTTGCACTGGGCTTTCCTTCAGTGAAGAACGGTGTGTCTGGCACGTGTGTGCCTTTGCTCTCCTCTGCGGGGCCTGCTGTGGTGGCCTGGAGGAGAGGGGAGGCTGGTGGAGTTTTCTAGAGCTCCCATGCCAGGTCTTTCATCACCCACATGCTTTTTAACATGAACCTCTATCGGGATTGTTCTGATGCACAGTGAGTGAACTTGGGGTTGAGGGCTGAGTGCTGCGGTGTTCCTGCCATCTGAGAGAATGGGAGGAGGGGGCCGGGAGAGCAGGATTCGCCCCTGGGCGCCGGAGGCAGACCCTTGTGCAGCTGTGTGGGAGCCCTTCCCCAGGCTCCCTCCGCCTAATCGGGGCCATACCTGTTTCGCATGAGATGCACCTGTTCATCGTGTGTTTATCACTGTGTTCCCCGGCTAGGGCCAGGGGCCGGGACTCTGAGGACAGCAGGGCTCTGCGCCCATCCCCGTCTCCAGCCCCTGTATCACTGTTGGCAGCGTAAGGTAGAGAGGCTCAGCAAAATCCAGGTGTGCACATGGGGGGTGGGAGTAGGGAGCAGGGCTGGGGACCCCTGGTGGGCTGAGGATGGCAGGAGGAGCGGGCCCCGTGCCTGACTGGCCCTGACTTGGGGCCTCTGTTTGCCTGTCTGCATGAAGGGCACTGATACTGCTGCTTTCTAAGGGGGCTGGGAGGAGTAGATGGGCTCATTCCATCCGAGTCCTGTGGGCCCAGTTTGCCGCTCTCAGCAGGTGTTTGCTCCCCATAGTCGCTCACTTGGGGACTTCTCCCACTCAGGTTATCCTTGACCCCTCCGGTCTTTCTTCCTTTATGTTCACTTTTGCCTTCTCTTTCACTAAATTCTTGCTGATGGTTGAAGGTCATTAGTGGTTAGGTAGTCGTGATCATTTCTGCCTTCTTTGTCCAGATTTGCTCTCATCAGATAAAAGCCAAAATGGCATCTGACCATTCTGTGGGACAGCCCGTGAGAGGAGGGGCCTGTCTCTCTGAAAGTGTTTCGATTTTTAGATTTGTCGTGGGGCTGCCTTCACACCCTTTGTCCTCACCTGCTGGCAACTGGCGCAGGTCTTGCCGGCGTACCGGCTTGGCGCCACGTGGCCCGTCCTTGAAATCTGTCGTGTGTGTTCCTGGGCTGCTTCTCAGCGATTATGCCGTAACATTGTGGCACTTCTCACCTTTTATTTCCTCCCCTCACATTGAGTTTTCAACTAATTTTTGTTGCTTTTTTTAAGAGAGAGTCTAAGAATTAGCAGTGAGCTAGCTGAATATCTGTCCTAGAAAAATCTGCAGTATATATTTTAAATTTGTAATTGATGCGTATTATGTTTCCAGTGTTTAAAGAGTTTTCCATTTCAAATACTGACAGTATGGCTTGATTTTAATATTTGTATTTCAAACTTAATTTTTCAAAGGAACATCTTTGTCAATCCATTGTTGACATAAGCCAAATTTGCACAATGATGGTAAAAGAACTTTCATTGTTTTTGCTAGGATGGCAGTAATTAATAGCTGTCATGTCTGAAAGTTCCTTTCAGATGTTCTCCTAGAACAGGGAGAAGACAGGGATTGTCTCTCCGGAGCCTCTCATGGGTCGTGTGTAGTCAGCAGGACTCTGGGAGAGGGTAAAGGGGAGTGGCTAGCCTGTCTTCTCCCGGGCCTTTGCCCACACCCTCAGCAGCATCCACCAGAAGCTAGCTGTGAGATTTGGGGAAAAAGGGAGAAAGTGTCAGCATTTAGCCAAGTTAATTTCACATATATTTTATGTCCATCAGTGCTTTAATGTAGTTTGAAATGTGAAACTCTAATAAATATATAAAGCCATCTTTATGGGCCCCTGGGTGGCTCAGTTGGTTAAACACCTGCCTTCAGCTCAGGTCGTGATCCCGGGGTCCTGGGATCAAGTCCTGTGTCGGGCTCCCTGCTCGGTGGGGAGTCTCCTTGTCCCTTTGCCTGCTCTGCCTGCTTGTACTCTCATCCTCACTCTCTCACTCTCTTTCTGGAAATAAATAAATAGAATCTTTAAAAACAAAACAAAACAAAATAAAACCATCTTTATTAAACCTGCATCTGAAATTTCTCTGCATTTATGAGCAAGCTGAGTAACTAGGAGCAAAATGAGTAACTAGGAAGGCTACAGGTATACAGTGTTTGGGGTTTTCCCCCGACATTTTATTGTGACAACTTTGTCATTTTAAGTGATATTCTGTTAATACTATACAGTGAACATTTGAAAAATACAGATCAGATAGTTATTATAAATTAGCCAGCTGAACATGAAAAAGCAAAGCTGTGGGAGAACACGTGTGTTGTTATGATGAGTTGTGGGAGTTGCTGGTTCAGGAAGGGATTTTAGGTGATGCATAGTTATGTTTGTTTTATTTTGCTTCGGGTGTAGGGAGAAGGTTACTTGTTTTCCACAGGTTTCCTGTTAGAGTTATGAAAAACTGACTGGGTGTTGGATGCATCTTACAGAAATAATTTGTTTCCAGTAAGTTAGAGTTGCTTCATCTTCCCTGGATATGCTCTGAAGAGTGGCTCATTCCCCTGTGTTAATGTGAAACAGTTGTTGACTGTTCCCCTAAATAACAAAATCTTATAGTGTCATTTCACAGGCTGGCTGGCACTTCTCCCAAGAAGGAGTGATGCTGATTAGTTCATCTTTATAGTTTCAGCCACTGTGAAATACCATGCTTGTGTTATTTTGCTGTTTGTTTTCTGTTCACCATTTAAAATAAATAAATAAAAACGCGGGCTGTTCCGTGGAGGAGACCTCGGAAAGTGCCAGAGTGAAGAGCCGGCCACACCGGCCCGCACCGTCCTCATGGGATCTGTGCCTGGTGCTCAGCTCTGCCACTCCTGTACCTCCAGCCTTTCCCTGCAGTAAGAGCCCTAAGAACTGCAGGGTGAGGCAGAGCTGGGCCCGCATGGGCCAGCAGAGACTGAGGGGAGGAAGATGTGCCCTCAGAATGAAGGCAGGCATGAGTGCCTTCTGTCTTGTGGACCTGGCATTGAGTACACTTCTTGGCAGCAGCAGCTTGCCCGTGGGAATTGACCCCTGTGTGCTCTTGTTTTGAGCTTTCTGCCATCGCTCCCTGCCCTGCTACTAATAATTCACTTTTCCTTTGTTCCAGTTACCCAGTTACATTCCTGCACTAACTCCCACTAAGACTTTGCTCTATCAAAGGGCAACTGTTTGAGGAGCCATGCCTCTTCTGTCTTGTAGAGGGAGGTGGCTTGCTGGTAGGAGAAGCAGGTGGGCTGCAGAATCAGACTCCCCTCATTCACCCACCGGTTGACCTGGTGGGCACGGGTGACCTCTCCGAGCCTGCGATCCTGCGATCAGTTAAATGACGATGAATGATAGTAGTGGCCCCATAGGAGTGTTACAGAAACCATAAGGAATAAGCTGTAAAATGACATAGTACGTAACATGTTCTCAATAAATGGTGGTTATTTATCTACTAATAATGGTTCCACGTGCCAGAATCTTCAGATTTTTATCATGTGACCTGCCTTTGATAAGGAAAAACAAAGTATTCAAATCTTCATGTCCACTCCATTATTTAGTCATTTTGTCAAATACTTGTGTATATTGTTTCATTTATCAGTAATACCCTACAGTGTCTGTGCTTACCCAGATGTTTTGTGATACCCAGAGAGAAAACATGTGCTCATGGAGGATTTTCCACCTATGTCTTTAGCCCTCTCTTAGACCCCTCATTTAATGAAGGGGTCAGGTCCAATTTTTATGAAGCACCAGTCAGAGGGTTCACTCTTTGTTGATACAGATAAATTAATACATTTTAGAAAGGCTAGAAGCACCGCTGATGTGTGAGTGTCACTTAACTCTACTTCTGATTATCAGAGTTGACAAAGACTGTGTTTGTTGTGGGATGAGCATTGCAGAACGAACATCTTCCGTATTATACTCTCCCCACCTTCCCCCCTCTGTTACTTTTTAAAGATAATGGTTAACATGTTCTGTTCATCTCTTTCTTCATGATTTTGCAAGACTGGAGGATGATTCTGAAGTTTTGGAAAATACTGTGTGAGTGTGGCCTGGAAAAGCTGCTTTTGGTAAAGGACAGATGAGCAGAAGAAGAGATGGATTTTACAGCGTGGGCTGTCCACTCATCCCTTGTCCTTGTGCTTGGCAGCCTCTAAATGTCCACACCACATGGGGCTGCTTCCCTCATGAGGCTTGGGTGTATATAGATAGCCAAAAGAACGTGGCAGGAGACATGGGAAATCACCTCCCAGGTCCATCTTGTGCATCTGCTCTCTTGCTTTGCTCACCCTGGGGGAGCCACTTACCAGGTCAAGATGCAGCCCTGTGGAGTGGCTGGTGGGGCGGGGGATGCAGAGGCGAGCAGTCGAGAGGCAGCCTGGACGGACGCACAAGGCCATGGCCTCCACGTGATGTCTGGATTCCTGACCCACAGAAACTGTGAAAGAGTAGCTGTTGTTTTAAACCACTGAGTTTTGAGGTAACTTTCAACACACACTAAATTACTACTGTGGTACTTATTGAAATCTTTGGAGCTGATGAAATCGTTTCTTCCTAAAGCACAGGCTGTGTGCTTTATGCTTGGCCATGTTCATCATTCATCTGGCTTAGGGGATATTATTGCATAATTGTTTGCTTCCAATGTTTATGAGATTTTTTTTTAAGTATAAAATGGTAAATATATCTCAAAAAGAGGTGGAATTTGGTGATATCTATAGATATCAAGCTATTAAATTTGGTATCTTATTTCAGGAATTGTATGACTTAGTGGGGGGTAAACATGAAACATTTTTAGTAACTATCACTATATTAAAGAAAATCAAGAATTTTCTTTAAGGCTGTCATGTATATACATACATGTATTCATAGTCATTTGACACCATAATTGTATACCCGTAAGTCATGTCAAAAAGGAAGGGAAATGCAGCCTCGTCACAATCCTTGTGATGTACTTCTAGATACTAGTATGACTTTAAATCAGCTATATTTACCATATATAATGTATAAAATACATTATCTTTGTAATTAACTAGGGGTCAAAATGGAAAAGATGTAACGTGTACAGCAGGTGTAGTGTTATGGCACAGAATTTTTTTTTTTTTTTTAAGATTTTATTTATTTATTTGACAGAGAGAGAGAGAACACAAGTAGGCAGAGTGGCAGGCAGAGGGAGAGGGAGAAGCAGGCTCCCTGCAGAGCAGGGAGCCTGATGCGGGACTCGATCCCAGGACCCTGGGATCATGACCTGAGCCGAAGGCAGCTGCTTAACCGACTGAGCCACCCAGGCGCCCCTGGCACAGAAATTTTACTGTAGGCAGGAAATTTCTGCTACTGCAACAATAGTAATTTGTTTGATAAATGTGTACCACTGGATGGACATCAGAATACAGAGGAGCGCATTGGATCACTTCTTTCTACGAGCTTCATTTTCTCTGAGCAATTACTGTGTTTAACTCCAAGCAGACCTGGGATAGGTTTATGTTGTAGGCTGTTAGATCTTCGTTGCGATCCAGTTTGCTGACAGCCACTTTTCTTGCATATGGCTCAGCTCTGGTATAGGAGCAGGTGAATCACACAGCTTCTGGCTGTCCCCCTTCTCCTCGTGTGGCCATGCCAGAGGTTAGCGAGCCTGGAGAACACACATCTGTCGCCAGACATGCGCTGCCTCCTCTCTCCCTTTGTGCGAAGGCCTGTCCTCCTGCCAGTTGGGCGAGCTCTGGGGAGGTCCTGCAGACCTTGCACCTCAGCTGCACTACTAAGGTGCTGTACATGTTCAGATGAACTGTAGATCTTATCAGAGTTTCTTTGGTTTTGCAACAGAAACAAACATTGCGACCAGAAAGGAGCTCACGGGAGGCTGAAGGGCCAGGAGACTCTGACCTGCACGGTCCAGACCACATGTCTATTTAGAATGATTAAGATGCACTACAGTTCAAACTTGAGCCGCACTCATCACGTTTCAGGTGTAGAGGCGCGTGGTGTGGCCAGTGACTGCCGTGTTGGACGGCCCAGACACACACCGTTGCCACCATCATGGAAAGTTCTGTCTGGCAGCACAGCGGTAGCCGGGCTTGCCTGCAACCCAGCGCTCAGTTGGTGAACCCACCTGCTTCCTTCATTCTCCCCTTGCTCCATGCACGATCCCAGCTGTGAGAGATCATTCGCCTGCTGCGTGTCCCTGCGGGGCTGGGAGACAGGCTCCGGTGGACGCCGCCCCGAGCTGCCCCTTGCCTCAGGGCAAGCACGTGGGTTCAGACCCCCCCAGCTGCAGAGAGTAGCAGAGCGCCGTGCAGCGCAGAGAGGTGGTGGGCAGGGGCGGTCCGAAATGGGCGGACGTCCACCGTGGCAGGCTTCCAAACCGTTTTAAAAAGTTAGATTTCGTCTTTCATCTGGTACATAACAGTATCTTTTTTCAAAAGTTAAAATAAATATAACAATGCTTCAAATATTTGTTGTAAAAATTACACTTAACCTTTAAAAGAAATACATGTTTATTTCTTAATGAATAAAACCTTTGCATGTCTGTTTCTCTAACAGTAAATGGGAGAACAGTCAAGAAAGCTTTCTAGAATGCATATTAATGAAAACTATATCACAAAGGTTTTGATTTGTTGCCAGTCAGCTTAATTTGCTCTGGAAAGATGTTTTTGATATCCAACCTTTTTTCCTCTGCCCCAATTCTGAAAAGTTTTTAGCTTTGCTAGCAGTGCTCCTTTAGAATAAAACACATAGAGCTCGAACTGATGTATTCCTGTTAGGTTTTGTTGGGGTTTAGCTAGTTAGGTTTTTCTGTTTCCACTTACCCTTATGTTATTTCTTTCAGTGTGTGTGTGTGTGTGTGTTTTCTCTCACTACTTTACAACATGCTAAAAATCCTCAGGGAACAGAGAGAATTACAACACTTCAAACATTGGTCACAAATTGAAGGGTAAATATTTTTATGGTTTTTGTATGATTGTGACATGATCTATCATGAGACCAGTAAACATGCCATGTTTGTTCACATAGCACATTCCTCTTTGACCTTGATGTTTCATTATAAAAGCAATAGGAAGTCAGTTTTGTAAACATCTAGGCCAGATCTATCAAGAAAGCTCTTGCCTAAAGCCCTCTGACAGAGTTTCATAGTGATCAGTTGCAATAGGCATTATAATCCCCAAATAGCATTTTCCTGCAATATTTCTTTCTTTTTTTATTTTTTTAAGATTTTATTTATTTGCAAGAGAGAGAATGAGAGACAGAGAACATGAGAGGGAGGAGGGTCAGAGGGAGAAGCAGACTCCCTGCCGAGCAGGGAGCCCGATGCGGGACTCGATCCCGGGACGCCAGGATCATGACCTGAGCCGAAGGCAGTCGCTTAACCAACTGAGCCACCCAGGCGCCCTTCCTGCAATATTTCTAACACAATTCAAGGAAAAAGTATCCTTAATTGGCTTTCTATTTATGAGAGGGTACTTAGACATAATTCAAAAGTGATACTTTAGAAGTCAGAGATCGTTTCTCATTATAGCAACAAATACCCTTAATGTGGTAGCTACATAACTTTCAACTTGGTGTATTTGTTAGAACTGTTCCCCGGTATTACTGTAGCTTCTTTTTCATGGCGTTGTAAGAGAAGGGAAAAGATAAAGGCTAAAAAAGACACTTAAAAAACAAAAACAGGAAACTTGGCATTTTCTACCTTGTAAATACTACTAAAACATAATTCATAATCCATGAACTATGGCAGGTATTTACATATTACATTATAATTGATTGTGAAATGTCAAATAAAGCTTGCTTTAAACTGTTTAAATAATGTAGATATAACAGAAGGAAGGTAGCATCTGTGTTCGGTGTATTTTAGACTTTCAGTTTAGGACTTTGGTTTGGGAGGACAAGGGCGGCAGTCCCAGGCTGGGGCAGATCTCCCCATGGCACTGGACGCCAGCAAGCCCACAAGGCCGCAGGGAATACAGAGCAGTGGGGGGGGAGGGCAGATTATTAGATTGTATGAAAATGTTCACCTCTTGCCTTTGCTGGCAAAATTAAGCTTGCTGTGTTTAAGCCATCGCTTTGCTAGAGGTTGCTACTTTAAAGTAAATTCAAGTGGTTTAATCCCAGGAGAGATTATATAGGGGGAAAACAATTCTTGATGCCTTCTTAAAATAATAGATGTTAAATGGTAGAAAATTTTGAACAGGAATATAATATTTCAAATATATTTTCATTCTATCCAAGTAATAGGTAACAAAATGAAAACATTTTGTTACATGATTAATACAGTTTTGCCACTTGGGGTGGCAACTGCTAATTGCTTACCTGTTTTCATTTTCCCTTAGTAATAAGAGCCCTGGTTTTATTCCCTATGCTGGTGGCAAAACACTTGAGCAGGAAGGTGACCTTTCCCACCCCCCGCCACTGCTCGAGACCCAGTTCCTGCCAGTGAGTTGTCGGCGAGGGCTTAACCAGCACCTCTGCAAACACAGTGCTTTCTTGCCCTTCCTTCCCCCTGGTTTGCAAACATGATGACAAGGCTTCAGCAGCCTTTTTGGACCAGGAGATAACCTGGAGGACAGAGTGTGCAGGTCGAGAACAGCAAAGGAGAAACACCAGGAACTTGGGCTCTGACTTTTTAGGGCGGCCCCTTATGATCTTTATGCAGCCTTGAGAAAACTGGCCCAGGTTTTGTGGTTGACTTCTAAGGTTTCAAGGAAGTGGTTAAACCAGAGTAATAAAATTGTAGATCCTGCGAAAGAAAGAGGCTGGATTTACTAGAGTGGACAGTGGAAAGGTTGAAGATGCGGTAGCATCACATAGCGAAGTCCTGACTGCCTGAAGGACTCGCTCCCCACGCACACTTGTTGGCACTCATCCTCCATGCTCATCATCATCTGTTGGGAGAGAGGAGCCCAAAACTCAGCACAAAATCACGGGGAGAATATACAGAATATGCACTCAAAGTCGTGGCTGTTGTAGGTGTGCTGGATCACAACACGAGCAGAAGTGTCAGATTTTTAAATGCAGCCCCATGGAAAGGAACCAGGACTCTGGTTGTGGCTGATTGAGGGTCTGGGGAGGAGATGTACAAGATGAGCTTGGAAGATGTTTTGACCCTAGGGCACAAGAAGTTATCGAAGAGTATTGGGGTCATATCAGAAGGACTCTAGAGCCAATCTAAGTTCATTCTCACTGGCCAAGGATGGGCTAATTCGACCATCAATATAGATGAAACCTGCAGTGGTTTCTAATGCATCAGATACGTTAAAATCTGTAAGTTCATGATGGTTCTCAGAGACTAGAAACTTACTTGTCACCTTTGGAGGATGTTAGGGAACCACCTTGTTATTTTGAAAATTAGTAAATAAAGGAAAAGAATCAACCATGTAAAAACTGCAGTTACAAACTCATTTTTATGTTATTGGCAGATCACAAGCAAAAGCAGTAAGACAGATACCCATTGT